TAGTTTTGATTGGCGTAGCCTGGTCTATAGGACTGTTCGCTGCAGCATTGAAGTTTATACTGGACGACGTGTCTCAAGAACTACGGGGAAAGACATATGGTATCATCGTGTTCTCAGCTTTCTTCGCYATACCACTGACCATTATCTTAGTGACGTATTCTATCATCTTCAAAATAGCAAGTGCGCATGCTCGTGGAAGAGGTATCCGGTCTTTCAGAAAGGTAAAAACAAGCATAGTTTTGCAATGTCCCTGTAGTAGTCTCAAAGGGCAGTCTTCGGCCGTTAAACAACATGGCGTCCTTCTCGATCACGTGATGAATCACGTGCTTAGACACTTCCACGCTTGTGATTTCGCGGTGTTTCTCGAACAACAGTTTAGGCAATTCGCGCAGAGAGTCAGTAATAACTCGTTTTTTCAGTTGAACGTTAAAATTATATGGATGGCGGAAGATAAATAGCCATATCAAACAATTGTTTAGCATTCGCGCGGGCTACCTTTATTTTTTGTGGACTAGGACAAATTTATAATGGTCGACACGGAAAAGCAATTTTTTCTGCAAATTCTGTAAGTTTTAGACATTTTAAAACACCAAAAGGTGGAAAAAACTTGAAAAAAACTTTCTAACGTACTTCCTTATAAGGTAAGATTACCATATATGGTCAGCAAGTTTGGCAAACAAATGAATTTTTCTCCAAACCAATTGTTTGGTATGCATCTTCGTTAATGCAGTATAGATGAATTTACTTTCCGAACAAACCTAGCTATTTCTTTCCCTAATATGSMCTTCTCTTTATCTAGGACTTGCGTATTGCCACCACAGTTGCAGTTGTGATTGGTTGCTTTACCATCAACTGGCTACCATTCTTTTCATTAAACTTTTTCTTCTCGTTCTGCCGACATCGCAGCTTAAAGCTTTGCATGAGCGTCGATCCGACATGGGGCTACATCACAAAATTCATGCAATACGGCAATTCGTTATGCAATCCTTTGATCTATGGGTTTCGTAATAAAGACTTCAAGGCTGCTTTCAAAAAGATCATTTATAAACTACTTTGCAAAGACGTTCCGGTCAGCACATTCACTCAAAGTACATACACAACACGACATACTAAACGGATGATTCGCACCGACTCGAGTTATGAAGACTCTGTAATCTACCCTGACCAAATCGTGCCACCTGGCATGTACGATATGAGAAACAGCTACCGTAGCGCAATCTCTCGAGGTGCGCGTAAAAAGCCCGCCAAAAACAAACAAGAGCGAAAGGGTCTAGCACAAGGGTTRATGTCTTTGAACGTCCAAACATTTAGCATGATAACTGATGATGTCACSCCAAGTACCAGCCAATTAGCTTCGTCTTCTTCTGCCAAAACACCAGACGACCAACAAGAGGATGTTAATTGTAACACCGCTGACATCAATGATTCYAAGTGTGGTGTCCAGTCTTTAGAAAATGATAGGGAATCACGTGATAAGTCACCTGACAGAAGAGAGCRAAATGAACCTACTAAAGASGYAATTAAAAGTAAGGATCATTTAGAAGGGAAAAGCACCGGCTCTCGAGTCCGTTTCGATGTYAGCAATGGAGTTGTCAATGGTGGACTTCATAACGAAGAGGAACCGAAAGAGAATACTGACAATYTATCGRTTTCTGTCGATAAAGAGCGCTCACATTCAGTGATGGCKTCCAATTCTCCGAAAAATATCGAAAGGAAAATTGATCGACGAAGTTTGACTTTCACCTGACCAATGATGAYGAGATTAAGTCAAAAATGAGGTATTTGATGAAATTACGCCATCAACATCATCAAATAAAGGTGATGTTTGAGATGACCATATARGGGGATGACTATATTTGGCGGGGAYTACCAAATATGACGATCTCATACCAATGTTGATGCTTTATATATACGATATATGTAAGTTTATACACTAGACCATGGGGCATTCTTGACACTTTTGTCGATATTTCCATCATACATGAGTTGTTTGTGTTTTATAAGAACTCTTAGTTTTTTATGTGAATCGCTTTTTCGAAAATTTCAATCTAGCATTTATGCCTTTAGTGTATGAGTTCCCCGAAATGATGTACATTACACGTTACGTATGTCGCTCGCGTTACGTTATAAGTACGTCCTTCACGTTTGAAAACAT